ATATTAAATATAATAAAGATATTGGGAATATTTAAACCCAAGTTTAAAATATATCACACTATTCGAATTCAAGCTTATTTAATTATAACTAAGATATTTTTTGATGAAGCTAATTAATTGTTATTTGCTTTGAAAGAAAACTATTCGTTTATGTTTATGCATGTAGGATTGATAAAAACTACAAAAGTATTAATTAAAGTCTTTTTTTTTATCTAACATACCAAATAGATATTATTGTTGTGTATCAAATTAATATTTGTACCTGCTAATATCTATTTTCATCTTAATGTAGGGTTTCACCCTAACCCTAAAACTAAGTATTTAAATATTGACCTGACACATATTTTAATTTGATACACATTATTACAAATATTAGCATTAGTATAATAAGGGGATGTTTATTGATTCTTATTTAAATAAGAATAATTATATTGTTTATAATACTTGTAAACTGCTCGATTATTAAAAATCTTATTTAGTTGAGAACACAAAGTTTGAGAAAGCTTTTAAATATGTAATAAAGTTCTTATTTTATTGTAGCTAATATTTATATGTATCTTTATTTATTTAATAACTTTAATACAACAAAAAAAAAATAATATCATATTGATTCTATTGATTTATAAAATATTTGTTAATAGTCGTTTGTTTAAGGCTAGATTAGTAAAAACTTTCTGCCTTTTTAATAATTTGTCGCAACAAATAAATATCATTCTCAGTAGCAAATTGCGATTGCTCAAGATATTTTTTTGCAACTTCTAATGCTCCTTTCCCCTCATTATATGTAATCAAGTCATCTATAACTTCTTCCTCAGCTTCATCCTCACTATTCGAATTATCATTATCAATCAAACCTTGTTCTTTAAGAACTTCTTTAACAATAGACTCTTTAGTTGGTGTATCTATTGTTTGCACTTCCTTATCCACATTTACATATTCTTTCGCTAATAATTTGGTACAATTATATGGCATCTCTAATTTTTCTAATAATTGATTAAGATCATTTATATCATTAACATTACTTGTATCAACAGCTAAGTTTATTTCTAGTGGAAGTATTTTTGTTTTATTCCAACAATGTACGATCGTTGAAGGCATAACTTGTTTTCATGCATCAGAAATTAAATAAATAACTTCTTTAATATTAATTGGCTCAATAGCTTTTCCATTTTCTATTTCATTCAACCATTTTGTTACTAGTAACTTACGATAGTTAACCTTGAAAGTTTTAATAATACCGGCATCACACGGTTGGATAACTGATGTAGTATTAGGTGGTAAAAATTCTACTTTAATATTTTGTAATTTTGGACTTGAATATGCATTGCAATTATCAACTATAAGAATCGTTGGCTGTTTAACTTGACAATCTAACTATTTCAACCAATTTTCCCATTTTTTTTTCTGTTATCTATGCCTTTTTATTGTTAGAATAGTGTATAGGCAATTTTGACATATTGGTATACTTCATACATTGTGGATATGCACTTTTACCAATTACAAATGGCTTAAATTTTTGCAATCCTGATGCATTACAGCAAAGAAGTATAGTAAAACGTGACTTGTTCTTCTTAAATCTCTTAATAGCATCACTTTTAAATGCAAGCATTTTATCCAGCCCAATACAAAAAAAAAGCCCATCTTATCTGCATTAAGGATATTATCAGGATGATAATTTTTAAGTAATTCCTGAAAATAATGTTGTCCACTTTCAATTGTAACTTGATCAGCTGATGCACTTTCTCCAGATATAGTTTTTGAACTAATATCAAATTGTTGCTGAAATTTATATACCCAGCCATTAGATGCCTCAAATATAGTCGAAAATTCTATGCCACCATTTTTTAACTGTTCATATATTGAAAGTGATTTTGTTTTAAGCATATTTTGTGAAACAGGAATATTTTGAGAACGAAGTTCTAAGAACAACTTATATACTGCCTCATCAATAATATAAAACTGTCTCTTTTATAAGGGAACACATTGTTGTATATGAGAAAGTGTAGTATCATATAACTGAAGATATTTGTCCTTATCTCACAAAATATTGCTTATTGTGGATCTATCAACTTGGTATTGTTTTGCCAAATCTTGATGGCTTAGTTTCATATTTTCATCTTTCTTTCTAATAATCTCAACCTTCTTCTTTAAAGTAAGAGTGGACCCTTCTTTTCGTTTTTTACTAAACTCTGTAATAGACATCTTGTAATAGACTAAAAATGCTAATGGATAGGTATAAATATCTTTTTTTTTAAATATAAGATTCTGATACCTTAATAAGATCTTTTACATTATTATTATTTAATTATAAATCATATTAATTTTCACTTAATAATTAATACGAATTAGGAATATCAATTTAAAAGCAAGACAGGATATTTTTTAAATAGAAAATAATTGATTCCTAGATAAGATTTAGACATTTACTTAAATTTAATAGAATGATTATTTATTATAATTTCAATATAAGCCTTTAAGTGATCACTTTATACTTGCAATCTTCAAGATTCATTATTTTACATGTAGTCATTATTGTCTTATCTAAATTTGTATAATATTTTTTTTTTTTATCATAACAGACGCCAGACGTATGTACTAATAATTTTATTAAAACTTGTTGAAAAAACAAATATTATATTGTTTTGAGCATGTGACCAAAAGGTCTCTAGTATATGAAAATCAGGATATTAGTATTTTTAAAGATAGTTTTATTGATTAGCAAATGAACCCTTCTCACTTAAATTTGCAAGCACTTTTGGTTCTTCGACAGGCTTACACAGTATCAGTAGGCTTCTTATTTAGGATTATTATTTGCAGTTACACTTTTCACTAATAAAATTTTCTCCTATACTTTCATAATGCACCTTCAATTATGGTCATAATACTTAATGACAGCAAGATTATATTTCATATTTTTTGTAGAAAAAAGAACTTAATAATCCCACTATTCTATTTATGCATTGTTTATTTAAACTACAAACTATCAATTACACATATTTAATGTATCAACACTAAATCAGGTAATATATATATGCACAAACTACAATAGATTCTATATAATAGTGCAATTCAACCAATTACATTGAATCATATGATCACATTATCTCAGTTGTGAGAAGACTTGATTAGCAAGTATTTCAACATGCTGTTTAATTATTTATTTATAATATGCTGGCCCTACTAGATCTTTTAGTACTATTGAAGATAAGTTATTAAAATTGTTTTAGTCTTTATATATCATTACATCATTGCTTTTATTTAACGTTGCTAACTATTTTTTTATATTCTTTTTTTTGGTTTTTTTTTTTATACAGTAATCTCATTTAGATTGTTCTGTTTAAGTGCTTGACCTTATTGGTTTCATTATTTTTGATTTTACTGCTTTACTTTACTAGTATATATTTATTATTATTTTATAAATCAGGTTCTCAACCTCCTATTATCAAAACCTTGCCACTTATCGTTACCTATTTGGATGGGTTACATCTGATTGTATATTATACTTCGGTTACAATTTTCAGACTGGTCGATTTTTATAATGATAATAATTCATAGGTTTTGATAATTACAAAAATGTAATGAATTTGTTATAATAAATTGTTTTATAAAAATTTATTGCCTTTGAGATATGAGGGTCTATAAAAATATCAGTCTGAGAATCTGAAGATTCTCGATCAATCGTCAAAGCGATTATTTTTTATTTATTCTAATGATCAAAGAATTCTCAAATTCTCAGACTGACACTTTCTTAGGCCAGTTCTCATGTGTTAAAAATTGTTATATGACCGATTATGTTTTCATACAGTGTGTATACTATAAATAGCCTTTAGGCAAACCTGTGATTAAATTTTGATTTTAGAAAAATTTATTGATTTGCTTATGTATCATGAGAAGGTGCTGTTGACGTGTACATTTGTGTTTAAAATCATACAAAATATTGAATAAAATAAGCTATGCAACTAAGAAATTTACAAACGGCATACTTAAACGCGAATGAAAAACTAGTTTAACAAGTT